AACAGATGAAGAACATAAAACTAAACTAAAATTTATAAAATGTCACATATTGCTGAATATGTGACAAAGATGAAAAGTTACTCTTAATGTCCATTCACTCAATAATCACTCACTGAGCCCTGCTGTGCATCAGGCTCCGTTTTAGGAGCGGAGGTTGCAAGGTGAAGAAGACAGATTCCCAGTCTCACAGAGTCAGCACATCAACCGGACCTCCTCTGACACTCCAGGGAAATGCTGGAAGCTACTCATTGTCTACACTATCAGGAAAGTGTAAACAAGGAACCCAGAAGGCTGATGGACCTTGAGCTCTGGCAAGGGCCAAAGCTATGCACCCATTGTTTAGTCGAGACAAGGGTGACTCAAGCAATTTCCTGACCTAATAGTCTCAAAGTAAATCTTTACTAATATTTACTGACCTTTAAGATAGTCTGTCTGCTACCGGATTTGCCTGCCTGCCTAAGGGCAATATGTGTATCTAAAATTGAATAAAAGGGTGGCAGGGCCTGGGCACCAGTGAAGCCCTCCTACTAGAGTTGGGCTCTCTGCCTGGCCCCCCGTTTCCAAATTCATATTTCTTATCTGGTCTCGTCATTTGTTGTGGCACTTCTTCAGGTCCCAAATGCAAGCCATACAATATATGTATATATATGTATTCATACAGACATACACACACACTGTATATATACTTTTGTCTACCAAATTGGCCAAATTTTCAAATTTAGTGGTGTTGGTGAGGATGCATACTATCGACCTGCTCACAAACTTTTCAACAGCTTCTTAATGGAAAATCCCAAACTGTCCCCAACTTTCGCCTGAGCACATATACATGCTAAAATGTGCAATCCTGGGCTCTGCTGCAGAGATTCTGAATCCATGGGTTAGAAATAGGGTCCTAGAAACTTGTCTTTTGACTAGGACAGGAAACTCTATTGCAAGTTATCCTCGGACCACACTTGAGGACAGATTGCTTAGAGTATGGGCAAGGTCAAGAAAATGGTCCCAGCTATGGAACTGTGCAGGACTGTCTTGCTCAATTAGACTTGATTAATTGATAGAAACATTTAACTACTAGAGACCCGGTGCACGGGATTTGTGCACTGGTGGGGGGCATGGCCTGCAGGTATCAGCCAGCTGTGGGAGTGCTGCTCATCCTGGTCAGCCAAGAGGCGTTCTCACTGTGGGAGCACACTGACCACCAGGGGGCTAGCTCCTGTGTTGAGCACCTGTCCCTTGATAGTCTGCACGTCATAGAGACTGGTCGACTGGTTGTTCTGGCTATTCTGTCATTTGGTCACTGGGCTTTTATTATATAGGATAAGACAAAAAGTATCAAGTGTATGCCATTATAATTCACCTAGTTATTAGTAATAGGAAAGCTACATATTATAGGCATGTCATTTGGGCAGCTTTGCCAGAAAGCTACATCTTTACACTCCCCAGGGAACCACAGGTCTATCCCCTGCAGGTCGCAGGGGGAAGGGACTGGACAGGGAGGAGGATGAGTGCATGTTCAGTGAGTCTGGGTGATGTGGGGAAGTACTTGACTGTCAGTCACACCTGGGAACAAGTTATTGGCCAGAATGGGTGTGGCTACTGTAAGGGCCTGAAATTTGGGATATTTCAATCCCTTGAACAAAGGAGTTTGCTCTCTTGGCAAATTGCACTTGACTCCTGGCTTGCGGGGCTCTCTCGCTCCTGCTTCCTGGCATTTGCTAGACTAATAAACTGCAGCTAGCCTGATGCTAACTGGACCTGGATGCATCGTGGGAGGGAAATTCTGGACACTGGCTTTGCTTTTAGGTCTACTGAAACCCAGCTACACTCCTTCTAGGACTGGAACAGGACTTTGGAAACCCAAGGGTGTAATTCCATGCAAATAAAAATCTCTCATCCTCCTGTGTGAGTCTCAGAAAATTCTTTTCCTGGAGATATTGTGAAGACAAATCTAGATCATTTTTCCTTGAAGTGCTGGCTTTGAGAGAGAACTTGCAAGGGAAGAGCACTCCACTGGTGTCCCACATTTGCAGACTTTGTTTTGCAAATGTTTTCTGGTTACTATGGCAACCTCTGGATGTCTCCGTGTAAAAGGGAATTTGGGGAGCTTATTTTTGAGGAAAAAAAAAGAATAGTGCTTTCTTTTTATCCTGGTAAGCTTGTTCTGTGCTGTCAAATTACATTCTGACAGCAAGGTTTAATCTAGAACATGCTTCATTAGAGACTGAACAATAAACTATTTCCAGGGATTGACAGTTCTTTTTCATTTATATTTTTATGTATTTGCTTTCAATGAATTCAAGAGATTAAACTGAAGTGCTAAATACTTGCTATCCTTTTAAATAATTCAGAAAAAGTCCTCACTTGAAGAATTTGACACATGTGAGTGTAGTCGTGGCATTTGTGGAATGAGGCACGAAGAAAGAACACGGCCCTGGGCCAGTCAGACCTGGACACTCAGCCAGTGTTCTGACACCCTGAGCCTCAGCCTCCTCTATACAATAAGAATCAGAAGTAATATAATTATACAGTGTCTACAACAATGTCAAGTCCTTTGAGCAGGTTCTTAGGAAAACATGGTAGCTATTCTTACCAAAGAAAAAATAAAAGCAAGCCCAGAAACATCCCACATCTATTAGATTTGGTTTAAAACAATTAGGCTTTTCACTGGAAAATGGAATACAGTAAAAAAACATAATACATATCAGCACTATTTGAATTGGACTTCTTCAGGTTTCAGCATACTCTATATAATAAAAGGCTAATATGCAAATAGACCAAAGGGCGACATGACCGGTCACTATGACCTGCACTGACCACCAGGGGACAGACGCTCAATGCAGGAGCTGCCCCCAAGTGGTCAGTGTGCTCCCACAGGGGGTGCACCACTCAGCCAGAAGCTGGGCTCACAGGAGCCTCGCCAGCTTCCACAGTAGTGCTAAGGATGTCCGACTGATGGCTTAGGCCCGCTTTCCGCAGGGCGCAGGCCTAAGCTGTCAATCGGACATCCCCCGAGGGCCCTGGACTGCGAGAGGGCACAGGCCAGTCTGAGGGCCCTCCCTGAGTGCACAAATTTCATGCATTGGGCCTCTAGTTTATAATAATATCATTAGATACTCATCAGTAAGTAATAGGAAAAGACTGTGGGGATTTTGTAAGATGAAGGAACATGACAGATAAGCTTGTATAAAGGAAGTCTGAGATCCTTAAAACTTTATACCAGTGTGAAAAGATGTAGTGAGCTAAGTTGACAAACTAGGTAGCAAAGGCCAAGCTTTTAAGCTTATAGAAGTTACGGTAACTAAGGGCCAGGAGCCCCCAATTACCCATTGTAGATGAGGGGACGCCGTGGGGACTGGGCTCGACTTCTCTCAGACAAGTGAGTCACTTCCGAAGGAAGTTAGCACTGAGGCAGGGACAGGCTTCCCCACTGGTTTTCCAGTAGCATTGATTCTCATATGTCTCTTACATCAGACTCCTTAATTTCTATTCTGCCTTCATCCCTTAATCTTTAATTATTGTGACAAATTAGAGCACCACAATAACCACATGGGCAAAATGTTGAAGTGAAACACAAATGCCAATTTTGTAAAGCAAAACAAGATATTCTGAAATTTAAAACTATGTAAAGGTAACAAACTGTCAAATCTCAGAGGGAATGTGCGGGGTGGGTTGGGAAGAGATCAACCAAAGAACTTGTATGCATATATGCATAACCCATGGACACAGACTATAGGGTGGAGAAGCCTGGGGTCGGGGCCTGGTGCGGGCTAGAAGGGGTCAATGGGGGAAATAAGGGGACATATGTAATGCTTTCAAAAATAAAGATTAAAAAATACTTTGTAAAAGTCCCCTGAAATGAAAGTAATAGTTTAAGGGTCCTTAAGTCTATATCATATGTGGCACATAAGCTCAACTTATAGAAGTTAGTCTATTGAAAAGTACTGACGCAGAACTGTAAAAACCACCACCACCACCACCAACAAAAGTAAGAGCCCAACACAGAAACAGATGTCAACGCCGTATTTTCAGTATCTGAATTTGGTTTCCATTTCCATTTATTTGTCTTGTATCTAAGGTAGTACATTCAAGAGAGTGAAAACGGGGCGGGAAGAAAGGTCAGTTGATAGACTTTCCCAGAATGCTTATCCTCTCAGCTTATTGTCCTCCCCTGCTGCTTGTCACCAGAGACAGAGAATCTGGGAGCATGGTTTAAAAAGGAAACTGCCAGGACTAACGGCCAGCTGCGCATTGGGAGAACTGTCCCCACACCACCACCACCACCACCACCACCATCATTGCCCTGCTCCTTTCCCCACAGGGTCGCTGGATGACAGCTTCGTGACCCTCCATCTCCAGCCTGTAACTGGTTGAGGTCAGGGTCTCCTGATCACGGCGGGTCAATCCTGGCTCCTGCCTTGGGATCCCAGGTAAAATACAGGCGTCCAGTTAGGTTTGAAGATCAGATTAACAACAAATAGTATAAGTATGTCCCCAATATTACACCGAAACGTACTCATATTACACACTGTGGCAGTGTTCCCAGATCTGCCAGCAACAGCTGCCAATGCAGAGAGCGCGTCCTGCGTCCCGTGCACTAATCCAAATGCTTTATAAGTGATCCTCCACTGAATACACGAAAACATATGGAAATGTAAACACACACCAACACATGGGTAATTTGAGATTAGGAAGAATGAATTGTGTATTTTTAAATTGCAAACATTATGCAAAAATTCCTATAATTAAGATATTTAATGAGTTGTCATTCATTAGCTGCAAACCAATTTGTATAAAATTGAAAAATATAAAAATTAAGAGCCTAGGATGCTAATTCCTGCTCACTAAGTCGCTGTTGAGCTTGGGAAAGTCTTCTCGCTTCTCTGGATCTAGGTTTCCTACTCGGCAGCTGAGAGTTGGATGGGACCACATGTAAGGTCCTTGCTGTCCCTAAAATCCCAGGATCTCCTCTAGTGTGCTAGCAGCCTCAGGGGACAGTCTCTCACCTCGGCAATCATCCTGTTGGTGTCTCCTAAGAAAAGCAGGTTCAGAGCTTCTTCCTCCGTGGTTGCCAGATGGCGAGACAGGTTTTTCAGGTGAATGTTCTGATCAGGGTCCTCCAATATCGTCACTTTCCTAGGAAGAGGGAAAAACAGAAACGAGGTACTTTGAAAATGAAAGGAACTTGAAGTCTTTTTTTTAATAGGCTTAGTTTTTAAAGGATGTAGGGTATGATGTCCAGAACTTCTAAAAATCAAATAACACACGAGGCAGCAGACAGGACTCAATTCGCATCACACGCTGACATGACCTTGACGGCACATCAACTAGCTTTGGGGCCCCTGATTTAAAGCCACCCGTCTTTGCAATCATCAGCTCACTAAATCATCTTGAAATGCGTATTACCGAACTAAAAATGCAAACAGATTACCTTCTACTTCTGTCAGGAAACTTGGCCATTTGTGTCATAATTCAGTTACTTACATCGGCAATGCACTAATTATTTTGCCGACTTTCCACCTTTTTTCCAATTTCAATTTATGTGACATGTGAAATTGGTCAGCTCAGTCATTTAAACATGATGAGAATTGAAGCATCTGTCCTCCCTCTAGGAGTCATTGCCTTGTCTAGTTTTCTTATCAACAGGAGTAAAGCATTCTCAAGAAGTCTTCTAAAAGCTTTAGTTTGTCATTATTATTTTTATGTCCATCAGATGTGTTTCTTCATCCTTTTTCTTTTACGATATGCCCTTTCCTTCCATTACATCCTTGTAGTCAGAGTCTTGGGGCTGGAATTATGTTCATCTATCACAACTGCCTTCACGGGCATCCGAGCGCCAATGCCATGTCCTCCCAGGTGAGTCCTAACCCTGCGCCCAGAGTGGCTTGTCCATATTCTCCTTAAAGTCCTTGAGCACTTTATGCAACTGAATACAACTTGGCCAAACTCCCCCTACTTTGCTTCAAAGGCCTCCAGATGCAAGCAATGAAATTAGTGGACAGAGTTCCCGTCTGCCTTTTGAGTTTTGCCTTCCTGACCTTCTTAAGAATTGTTAAGGGAAGGAAATCTTATCATTTACAAGCACTGCACTTGCTTGACTTGAGGATAATAAGTAAAGATGGGCATCTTCTGGCATTACATCTCTAAAAACACAATTGGCAAGTAAACACTTGTCACTTGCCTGTTTATAAAAACACACCTACAATATCTTAAAAATGAAGATTTTTCAAATACCATCATTCTCACCCTTCCCTTTTGTAAGGAGGTTATCTGACTTTCAGATCTAATTTGTGGGCATTTAGAGTACTAATCATGGGAAGAAAGTGTAGCTCTCCCCGCACATCTGTGACCAATATGTCACTAATTATGTGATTTTTTGCCGAGTTTTGGACTCCTCTTTGTCTCCTTCAACAATACCAACTAAGATGGAAAAAGATCTCTTCCTTTAATGAAAACAAGTGTATTTTATTTATTTTTCAGCAAGACTCATAAGTAAGCTTATTAAAAATGTTTGTGAGTCCAAAAATGCTTGGAAAACATGAAGGCATCTTTAACTGAAATGGATGAATTGTGTTCTATTTTTAGGAACCTCCTTTATCCCTTCAATGTTGTTTTCACCCTGATCCTTTTGAAGTGCTCGAGAAGATTTGACTAAATTCAATCCCTAGGGACACAGAAGTTAGAAAACGTCCTAAACCCACAGGCTCTGGGTGATACTGGAAGGAAGATAAAAGTATGAAATAAGCGATGAGACGGTACATAAAAGTGGGAGGAGCGTCCTGTCTGTTTCAACATGAAGATAAAAAGAATTCTCCAACTCTGAGGCAGTCACCTCTCATGTGTGTGGTGAGGCCAAGACAGAGGCAGTGCTATTCTGTGCGAGTTCAGAAGAGGGGGAGGGAGCAGCGGAAAGCGACTCAAAGAGGATGCTCGCACTCACTGGGCACCAAGCATGCCTGACACCTGTGGTGTTCATTTAATCCAGGTGTCCCCAACTTGGCTGCCACAGGAACCACCTGGGGACTTAAACAAAACAAACACTGGTGCAAGGTCCCTCCTGAGATTCTGATTTTTTTAAAAATATATTTTATTGATTTTTTACAGAGAGGAAGGGAGAGAGATAGAGAGTTAGAAACATCGATGAGAGAGAAACATCGATCGGCTGCCTCCTGCACATCTCCTACTGGGGATGTGCCCGCAACCCAGGTACATGCCCTTGACCGGAATCGAACCCGGGACACCTCAGTCCACAGGCCGACGCTCTATCCACTGAGCTAAACCGGTTTCGGCCTGAGATTCTGATTTGATTGTCCTGGGGTGTGGTCTGGGTATCAGAATCTGTAAAAGCTCCAGGTGTTTCTCATGTGCAGCTAAGATTGAGAGCCACTAGCTTCATCTTTCCTTACCCTTCAAGGCAGACATATGGGGAGGTTTCTGGTTGCTTCATCTTACTTTCACCCAGCTCCACCTCATGCCCAACTGGGAAAGTTATTCATCTTCTTGGTTGTCACTGAAGTCACTCTTGAGCCACATCTAATGGGCAAGGTCACATCTTAATAGCATGTCCTTCCCTGGGAAGTTCCTATTCTGCCTCCCTGAGTATGCAACTGCTTGGTCAACTAAGCATCACAATAGTAACGAAAGCTCAGGCGAGGATTATGGGTCCACCTAAACTTCCACAGGGTTTATAGCATTGCTGAGTCAACCTAAGTGATAGTAAGGACACAGCATACATATATCTCTCACCATTATTTCACTGAAATAAAAAACATGGAAAACAAGCAACTATGGCATTCTAAGAGTGTTCATTTACTGGACAACCTAAATGAACTTAGGATTATATTTCTACTATAGGCCAGGTGCATGAATTCATGCACAGGTGGGGTCCTGTGGCCTGGCCGGTGATTGGGGCCATTGGGGCTGGCCAGCCGGTGGGAGGGACCCCGAGGGTTTGGATGTAGGAGTGCACTGACCATGAGGGGGCAGCCCCTATGTTGAGCATCTGCCCCCTGGTGGTCAGTGTGCATCATAGTGATTGGTCGACTGGTCGGCCAGTTGTAATGGTTGCTTAGGCATATATATATGTATGTATGTATATTAGAAGTCTGATGCATGAAATTCATGCAAGAGTAGGCCTTCCTTTCCCCAGCTGCCGGCACCGGCTTCTCTCTGGCATCCAGGACCCAGGCTTCCCTCACAGCCCCAGCTTCCTCCGGAAGGACGTCCAATCTAATTAGCATATTATGCTTTTATTATTATAGATAGAAATAATAATTAGGAGCATAAGGTAGAAAGTGTTTGTGAAATATCACCAGTGACATTTGGCTAAGCTACTTTTTTTTCTGATGCAGAGCCTTTGATCTCCAGTGTGGCTACTTCAGAACCATTGAACTTCTGTATTTGCTGGTCCAGCTTTGTCAGTTTGATCAAAATAACTCTGCACATGCCCCTTTCTCTGCATGTCATTTTCAGCTGTCTTTCATAGCGTACCACTACATGTTTCTCTGACCTCTGATATTATGGTTCCCTCTCTATTTTCTGATTTCTTGCCCAGGGAGACTTTGAGACATAAATAAAAAGGCAGGTTGGTGTCCAAAGTAATTTAGCTTCTTTCATGGCTGTGCCCTGCTTAGGGCGCATCTCGGAGCACCTTATGAAAGACTCCATCTCTGGCATCCTATGGATTCTTCTGCGGTGCAAATTTCTCTCTCCAATCAGGATCGCCCTGGCCAGGTCTTCCCCTTCCATTGTTCCCCAGTTTCTGCCCAATCCCTTGGGCAGGAAGCTCTGGACTTTCCCTTACGGCCCTGCCTGTCCTCATTGAAAAATCCCTTTTTAATTAAGCCTTGAGCCTGTGTGTAAGCCCCATCCATCCCCTCTCACGCCTTTGCTCAGAAAAGCCCAGTCATGCCCTGGGTACTACCTCTCACCTAGGTGGGCTAATCTGGGGGTGAAAATGTCTTAAACTGCTGCGGGTGGAATGCTTTTTCAAAGTTGGAGGAAATAAGAACCATTAGCAAAAGTTTCTCCTCAAGTTGCTTCCTTCCTGGCACTTTCTTTCCCCCACTCTCTCACAAATCAATAGCTATTTCCTGAATCCTTAGTCGCCACTTGATTCTGACTGTAATTTTTGTGGGCTTGAAAGACGGCTTTATTAAAGTTTCTTAAATAAACATCCCAATTCCAAGATGGAAACCCCCAAACTATTTATTTGATTCTTTTTGAAAGGGCCTGTGAGTCGTTTTTCCTACAAAATGTTTCTAAAAAGTTTAGATTTCAAACAAAAGTCTCTGATAGTCTTAACTTGGACACCTAAGTGGAAAAGTTTTGCTAAGTATACTCGGTCTGCCTAATGATGGGGAAGAAGCAAGCTTTGTATTTTCTCTGTAAACAGAATCTTTTCCATTTAGCTAAGTAATTGGAATTTGCAGGCTCTTTCTAACTGAAGACATATAAAGAGCCATAGCCAAGCTCTTGTTCTCAATAATGGAAGCCATCAATGAAAGAACCTCCCAGCCCCCTCACCCGCCTCCACAACATTCCACCACCACCAACTTGCCCAACAGGAACTTTTCAGGAGTTACTGCAATGAGTCTGGTTTCTAATTTTCATGTTATAGGCAAATGTTGCCATAGGTGATTTCTTTCTTTGTTTTTTCTTCTACTTGGGAATGCTCCATGCCATTGTGCAAACGGGGCCTACATAATGGTACCATGTCCCAGGGGCTGCAATGAACATAATGAGGTTGTATATTTATTATGACAAATGTCGGTCAGAGTAAAGTGTCATCTAACAAAACAAGCATATTACAACAATTTTCTAGCAAATGGTGGGGGTGCCTTTTAATAGTTCACACGGAGGTGCCCTATGGACTAGAGGGAGCCCTGTTTAGTTACCTTGACGTAGAGCAGTATCAGTAGTAGGCAGGCCTCATGAAAATGGGAGGGGAACCACCAGTCTCTTCTAAGTAACTAGATATGTTTCGCATGTTGTTAACATGGTCTCACTATTTACTTTAATAAAGAGGATATTCTCTAGTTCAGCAGTTTTCAACCTCCTTTTATGTTCCACCCCAACACTCATTCTCAGACGTTCTCTACGGTGAAGATTGGGAGAAAAGAGGA